GGGGGAGCACGGTGACACATGCCTGTAGTCCCAGCGGCTTGGGAGTCTGAGACAGGAGGATCTCAAATTCAAAGCCAAGCTCAGGGGCTGGGGATGTGGCTCAAGCGGTAGCGCGCTCGCCTGGCATGCGTGCGGCCCGGGTTCGATCCTCGGCACCACATACCAACAAAGATGTTGTGTCCGCCGAGAACTAAAAAAAATAAATAAATACATATTAAAAAAAAAAAAACAAACAAACAAAGCCAAGCTCAGCAACTTAGCAAGTCCCTAAGCAACTCAAAGTAACCCTGTCTCTAAGTAAAATATAAAAGGGGCTAGGGACGTGGCTCCATGGCACCTCTGGGTTCAATCCCCGGCACCAAAAAGAAGGATAAAAAGAATCCCAACTGAGCCACTACCTATCTGTGTGACCTCAGCAAGTTACTAAGCCTTTCTGGATCTCAGTGTCCCCACCTGTGCTATAGGTAAAACAGTGGTCCCCCTCCCATGGTTGTCGTGTGGATGGAAGGAGACAGAGCTTGGCGCGTCTCCTGGAGAGCCAGTCAGTGGTGCCATTGTTAACAACTATAGACTGGACAGCACGTGGGTCAAGTGGTCTGCCTCTGAGCACCTTCAGAAAGCAGGGGCAGGGGACCAAAGGGGGTTCCCAGGGTGGGGCAGTCAAACTGGGATGTGCCAAGATTTGAGGGTCTGTAATCGCGGGGCCGCATGTTGGCTCCACTCCAAAGACTGGTGCCCATTTCCCTGGCCCCTCACACTCAGGTACATCCTCTGTTTGCTCAGTGTCAGCTGGGAGTCCCAGCTGCGAAATCTTCAGCCCCTGAGGAGACGGAGGCCTTGCATCTCTCCTGCCACTTTAGTCTGAGCAGGTGAGGGGGCGGAGGAGCCCCACAAACCTCAGGCACTCTCCCAGGTGTTTCTGTTTGTCAAGGGATCACTGTCTTTTTTTTAGGCTTTGTCTTCCACCTGCTGAAGAGGTATGATGTCATCATCAACGATATCCCCATTTTATAAAGGCATTGAACCTCAGAGAGGTTAAAGAACCAGCCTAAGGCCACACAGCCAGAATGAGGAAGGGCCAGTATCCCCATCTTATCTGACAGAAGCAGAGGAGTTGCGGTGTCTCTGCCTTCTCACCAAGCAGGCACTGGGGCTGGCATTTGAGTGCAGGAGGGGACCGTTCTCAGAACCAGACTGTGCCCAGCTGGAACCTCCAGGCCTGTCCCACCCTTGGGATGTATGACAGATATTGAAAGCAAGGGGAAGGCTTGAAAAGGATGGTCTACTCGGAGGCTGGCCTCTGCTGAGGCTGTGTGCGTGTGTGCGTGTGCTTGTGTGTGGCTGGCATTATTTGCTGTCTGGGTGGGAAGGGCTGGGTGGTTGTCGCTCTCATCCCTGTCTCGATTCCTAGGAAATGCTCAGCTGTTTTCCTGGAGAGTTGACTTTGGTCCCTTGTTCTCTACAAAGTCAAAGAGAGGTTACCAGGGCACTCATCAGTTCGGACTTGACCAACCTCTCTGAGACTCCAAGCCAGAAGGTGACTGGTACCTTGGTGGCCCACCAGGTGAGGATAGGCTGCTGCAGAATATCTCGTCCCTAGACCCACCAGCCTCGGAGGTCATCCTCCAGTGGCCCTCCAGCCATGCTCCAGTGGCTCCCTCACCTCAGCCCCCCAGGGTACAGCCTGCAGTGAATCAGGAGTGGGAGCCCGGGGGTCAGAACTGTGACTCTTCGGCACATGCCTTCATTACTCCTTCTGAGACTTGGTTTCCTCATCTGTTCAGTGGGCATGCTGCCTTCCCATGGGCAGGTGCCAAGTGAATGTGCCAGCTTCCGCCTCTTCCCTTCTTCCATCCTTCCTTCCGCATCCCCACCCTCTCCCCTGGCCTCTTGGCCACCTAGCTGCTGGGCCCTCCTTTCCCAGAACCCTGCCAGCTGCGGCCTCTGGGCCTCAAGGAGACAGTGGTTTCCCCATCCTTTCCTGTGGCCTGCCCCAGGGCCAGCTCCCCTGAGAGCAAAGGCCCCAGAGCGGGAGCCTCAGGCCCCACCCTTTACGTAAACACTAGTTGGGCACCAGCGGAGCTCAGGAGGGAAGCGCTCCCACTCCTCACCTCCTCCAGCCGCCTGCCACTGGAGATTCCAGGGGAAGCGCCAGGCAAATCTGGCGCCCTGGCACCCAGGCCGACTCGCTGCTGGAAACAGTCACTTGGAGCCAAACCTCAGGCTGAAGGTGGACGGGACTTAAAAGTCCCTGAGCTGGCCTGTCGGCCTCCCTGCACAGCACCCAGGGCTGTCCCAGAAAGGACGCTTAAGTCTCTCATTCAAACACTTCCAATGGCCATGAGAGACATTCATGAGTGGGACCTGTTCGTTTCTTAAAAATAAAGGCAGGAATTCAGTATAACAAAGCAGTGTCGACTTTTGGGGCAGGAGAAATGTGTGTGTTTTATTATGCTTTGTAATGTGAGCACACATTACAAATTCTGTATTATTAAAACACCGCTAAATGACACTTTTAAATAGATAAGACTAGGGTCTGGGGTGTAGCTCTGTGGTACAATGCACGTTGGGCATAAGTGGGACCCTGAGTTCGATCCCCAGCACCAAAATAAAGCAAAATAAATAAGATTAGCCTTGTTTCATTGGGAAAGTTTAGCAAATACTCAATCTCTCATTCAAATACGAAAATAAGAATCACCAGAATCTCTCCTCTAGAACCAGACCATTGATATGTTGGTTTTGTTTCCTTTCAGTTCTTTTTCTAGCATTTATTTTGTCATTTTATTCTTTTGACTAAAAATGGAATCATATTGTTGAATAACTTTTCCCCCCTAGCAATATATTTGAACAGTTCTCGTGTCTTTATTTACTTCAGTACACATATTTTCAGGGCTTTTGTTTTCCATATAATTATGAAAAAGGTATTTCTAAAAAAAAAAAATTTGTAGTTGTAGAGGGACAGAATACCTTTATTTTATTTGTTTATTTCTATGTGGTGCTGAGGATGGAACCTAGTGCCTCATGCATGCTAGGCAAGCACTCTACCACTGGGCCACAACTCCAGACCCCAAAAAGGTATTTTTTAATGGTTGAGATCCATATCAATCTCATTAGGATCATTCCATTTATGTCTTAGTATTTTTTCTTACTTAAAAAGTAATACAGGGTGGGCTGGGGATGTGGCTCAAGCGGTAGCACGCTCACCTGGCATGCATGCGGCCCAGGTTCGATCCTCAGCACCACATACACAAACAAAGATGTTGTGTCCGCTGAAAACTAAAAAATAAATATTAAAATTCTCTCTTTCTCTCTCTCTCTCTCTCTTTAAAAAAAAAAGGGAGGGCTGGGGGTGTAGCTCAGTGGTAAAGCGCCTGCCTAGCACATGGGAGGCACTGGGTTTGATCCTCAGCACCACATAGAAATAAATAAATAAAGATTAAAAAAAAAAAAGCAATGCATTCTTGGAGAAAACATAGATACACAAATAAAAGAACATGAAAAATCCCGTAGCCTCCCCACTGTGAATTAACTCTGCTAATATTTTAGTTTTTAAAATTCTGTCTTTTTCTGTGTATATGTCAATGTGTAAAAATGTCTTGATTTAGAACTTCCAGGTCTACAGAACTGTGAGCAATGAATATGGTTATTCATAAATTACTCAGTCTAATTTAAAGTAAAATTGGAAACATACAGTTCATCCTTTTTAATTTAGTTTTCATTATTATTTTGAACCCCACTGGGTTCAATCCCAGTACCAAAAAAAAAAAAAAAAGATAGGGAGAGAGAGAGAGAGAGAATAAAGAAAGGAAAGGGGGGGAGCCTTTCCAGAGTATAGAATTAATACCTTATCTTTTTCTCCTCTTATTTGACAGTGAACATTTCTCATTAAATATTTTGGCAATTCTAAATTTTTAGTGACTGATATTCCATAACATACATTATAGATTCATCACCTTACAGATTCATCACCTTATAGATTCATCACCTTATTTGGGTATTCTGTTCTGATAAATAAGTCACTTTTAGCTGGGCACAGTGGCACATGCCTGTAATCCCAGTGGCTCCGGAGGCTCAGACAGGAGGATCACAAGTTCAAAGCCAGCCTCGGCAATAGCAAGGCGCTAAGCAACTCAGTGAGACCCCATCTCTAAATGAAATACAAAATAGGGCTGGGGATGGGGCTCAGTGGTCGAGTGCCCCTGGGTTCAATCCCCCATACCAAAAATAAAAGCCACTTTTATGTTCAAAACTTGTCAGAGGAGGAGACCCCAGGCTTTCCTCTCTAGGCTGTGGGTGCCCACTGAAGCCACCATATTCAGGAGCCCGGATGGTCTGTAGCTTGAGAGCAGCTCAGGGACCCAGTTGGTTCTTGATAACAAAATGCAGCTTTTGTTTTGGCAGCAGGTGTCCCCTGCTTCTCCCACTGCAGGGAAAGTCACAGGCGTGGGTGGGCAGTTCCAGGGGAGGAGAGGAGGTCCTGGTGGAGTGAAGGAAGTGCCCGAGGAGATGGCTAACTCTCAGGAGCCAAGGAACGCTGGCCCTGGAGCGGCAGGGGCAACTTGTTGGGGCCCATTCATTCCTCACTCAGGTTCAACCGATGCTTATGAGCCAAGCCCCTACCCTGGGCCACTGTCTTTCCTATTCCCATTCCCCCCCCTTCATGCCCCTTTGTCTAATCCAATAAACTTCTATTCCACCCACCCTTATTGTGGGTCAGTATCCACATATCAGAACATTCGGTCTTTGGTTTCTTGGGACTGGCTTATTTCACTTCGCATGATAGTCTCCAGATCCATCTATTTACCAGCAACTTTTATAATTTCATTCTTCTTCATGGTCGACTAATATTCCACTGTGTATATATACCACATTTTATTAATCCATTTATCTATTGAGAAATTAAGTTCTACAGAGCTTAGCAGATAGTTTAGCACTCAATAAATGGTAGATATTGTTATTAATTTAATTAAAATTTATTTATCCATTTACATTGCCTCCAGGTACATAATTCCAGCAAGAGACCCGAAACAAGATGTACAAAATGTCTCCCACTCCGTGAGGCTCCTGGTGGTGAACATCCAGTCCTGGTCATCCTCATGCTCGCCACCCTCACATGACTTGACTTCTGGCCTCATGAGCTCTGCAGCTGCACCCTCCCACAACTTTAGAAGTACAATCACAGAATCCAGGGCTCCAAAGCGTGGACCCTTATCCACCCTTAGCACCTGCCCCAGCATGGGAAAGCTCTTCTCAGCTCCTTTGAGATGGAGATGCAGGTGGCATGCAGGTAAGATGAGGAGAAGGAGGACCTGAGGTCCCTACTTTCTGCTCCATGCTTTTGGGAGAGTCCAGGCCTGGCCATCCACTGTCTCCATGCTCAGGGCCAAGCAGCTGCAGAGGCTGCAGGTTGCTATGAGGTGGGACAGACTATGCAGGGTCACTGTTGGTAATGATGTTTTCAAGTGCTCATGGATGGTGTGGTTGCCATGGTGATGCCCTTGGTTCTGAACAGGCAGTAGCCTCTCTTGAGTTGTGAGTCAGGTTCTGTTTTATTTTTTTAAAAAACAAAACCAGGCGCCCTGACCTATGGGAGACAAAGCGGAGCTGCAGGTGGAGGCCACGGCGTCGCTGCGGGGGTGTGAATCAGCGGTGCTATGTGCAGTCCTGGGGTCCCCTGATGTCAGCTGGCCCCGCTTGTGGTGGGCCTGGGAGCATCCACAGAGGTAAGCGGGGAGGCCGGACCTCAATCTGTGGCCCAGGAAGTGAACACAATCAGAACCCACTCTCCTGGTTGGAAGCCACTTCCTGGGAGGCAGGTCCCATGCCTCAGCTGCAGTCCCAGGACCAAAATGGAACCTCCAGGGACTCTGCCCTGCTCCTCAGACACCGGAGTCTTCAGGGCCCACAGAGGTGGAGCAGGCGCTGGTCAGCCTCAGCCAAGTGAAGGACAAGGCCTGGCCCAGAGATGACCAGTGCTGAGCTGGCCCACCCACGAGTGTGACACACAGGAGCACCCGCCCGACGTCCAGGCTGAACCCAGTCATCCCTTTGAGAGGGGCAGGGTCCTGGAAAGACCAGGGAGGCCACAAAAATGTTCTCCCAGGGCCTGAACTTGTGGGGTGGGGCTCCCTTTCCCAGCACTCCAGGGTGGGGGGAGGGGGCAGTAATGACTCGGGCCTCAATGCCAGGCCTGTGTCACCCTCCAGGGGAATGATACAGGAACCCTCTTCCTTGGCTTGGACACTGTGGCAGCACCTTAGACCTATAGGTGTAGGGGCCAGGGAGCCTGCTCATGTGTCTGGGCTCCCAGAGCTTGGGTAGGAGGGATTGATTCCTTCCTCTCCCACAGTCTGATGGCTGGGAGACTTGCCTCCTCAGCAACCCTGGATTCCCAGTCCTGCTCCACCTCGGCCTTGGTCATTTCGCATTATTGATCATAGTGGATAGGTCAGTAGGTGCCCAGCTCTATGTGACTGAGCCCCCACCCCCATCGTGGTGTGGGGTGTGATGTAGTCATAGTACCTTCTCCAGGGCAGCTGGGAGGGTGAAATGCAATCATATTTGCAGATGTTTCCCATTCCCACAGAACCTGGCCGGCGCAGACAAGCAGAAGTGACTCTTACCAGTGCCGACTTTTGTTCAGGCCCTGAGCCCATCTTGCCTGGCTAACGGCTACAGTCCCTTGACGTCACTGGTCAATTGCAGTCTTGCTCATCTCCAGTCCCTTGTCCACGCCGCAGTGGAGTGATTTATCTAAATGCAGTCCCAACCATGTGATTTTCCTCCGTAAAACCTACCGATGGCTCTCGTTTGCCTTCAGGGTAACTCTTAGATGGTCAACAAGGTCCCTCAACGTCTAGCCATTGGCTGCCCTCTCCTGCCCCGTATTTCCTCACACGTTCCTGGCCATAAGCAAGTGTGAGAAGTGTTCTCCAGACACTTCTGATTCTAGCCTCATCTGTACCTTCAGAATTTTTGCCGCCTTCTTCCCTCGGTCCAGAGCACCCTTCCTCTTTCTGGGCACCTAGCAAACACCTGCTTCTCCCCTTCAAGAACACATCCTGAAAATTCCCACCATCCTGAAACCTCTCTTCAAGCACAGAGTCGACCACTTCCTCCTCTGAGCCGCTTTGGTGCCCTCTGTAAAGACAATTACCCTTGACACTGCCATGATTGCTGTCCAGGCCTGAGACCCTTTCCAGTTTCACGAGGGCAGCATGGATTCTAATTTCCATACCCCTGGGACACACGGGATCACCACATCTAGAGATGAGTGTCCCTAGATGAATGAAAGAAGATATAGAAGAGGAAACTGAGGCCCAGACAGGAGTAGTGACATGGCTGACGTGCAGTCGGCAAGCCTGTAACTCCAGCGGCTCTGACCCCAGGGACTCTGGACCATTCATTTGTTCCTCAGTCACTTCCTAAGCGCCAGTGAGACTCCAGACACTGTGCTGTACCCTGATACAAAGATCCAGGAGCCACCTGGCCCTCAGGAGCCCACAGGCAGGTGGAACAGAAGGACCACGTCCTTTATTACAAACTGTGACGGAGGGTGTAGCAGCGGCTGCAGGAAATCCAGGGACATGGTGGTGAGAGGAAGCCACTAGCTCTGGCTGAATGTTTGTTTCCCCATCAAAATTCGTACATTGAGGGGCTGGGGTTGTGGCGCAGAGGAAGAGTGCTCGCCTTGTATGTGTGAGACACTGGGTTTGATCCTCAGCACCACATAAATATAAAATAAAGATATTGTGTCCACCTAAAACTAAAATAAATATATATTTTTTAAAAAAATTCGTACATTGAGGTCGGGCACGGTGGCACATACCGTAATCCTAGCTGGCTTGGGAGGCTGAGGTAGGAGGATGGAGAGTTCAAAGCCAGCCTCAGAAACTTTGCAAGGCCTTAAGCAACTCAGTGAGACCCTGTCTCTAAATAAAACATAAAAAAGGGCTGGGGATGTGGCTCCGTGGTTAAGTACCCCTGGGTTCAAAGACCTGTATGTAAGTGTGTGTGTGTGTGTGTGTGTGTGTCTCATATGTTGAATCCTTGCCCTCAAGGTGCGGGTATCAGGAGTGATCTTTGGGAGGCGAGTAGGTCCTGATGGTATTAGGAGGGGGCGGAGCCCTCATGAATGGGATTAGAGCTTTTATAAAAGAGGCTGGAGGGAGACTCCCTTACCCCCTTTGCATATGAAGGCACAGCAAAAATATGGCCATCTATGAACCAGAAAGCAGGCTCTCCTTAGACAGAAGCTGCTGGCACTTGATCTTGGACTTCCAGCCTCCAGAACAGTGAGAAATACCTCTCTCTTGTTTCTAAGCCATCCAGCCTCCAGTCGTTTGTTATAGCAGCTCAGATGGACTGTTCTGGTCTCCAGTCTCCCTCCCCAAGCCCTAGAGGTCAAGTTCCCTAAAGCCACCAGGCCAGGGCAGCAATGCTGTAGGTGCTGTCAACACAGGTGAACAGGGGCGCGCGCACACGCACACACACACACACACACACACACAACGGGTGACCTGAGTATGCTTTGCCCCGTGGAGCAGGGCAGGTGCCACATGACACTGCTGAGCCTCTAAGCAGTCAGGCATAAGGTTGTGAGACCAGACAGCAGAGCCCTGGCGGACACCTACCCCACACAGGCCCTGCGCATAGTGGGCGTCTTGAGCCTCTCCAGGCAGGCCCCACAGACAAGGTGGATAGGGTTTCTTTCCCCATTTTCAGATGGAAAAAAAAAAAATGAGACTTAGATTTCAATGACTTTCCCAAACCCTCTGCCGGGTCAGGGGAGGGACCGGAAGCTGAGTCTGCCACTCCTGAGGGCAGTCGGGCCTGGAGTCTGCACCAGGCCTTCTGCTGGGCACCAGGGATGCCAAGGTCCCTGCCTCTCGTGGGCGGCGGATGACTACCTAGGGACAAGAGCCCAGTTTGGCCCTTCAGACTGAATCATGATGGTTCTGCCATCCCCGTGGGCTCTAGAGCTGGCTCCTCATGCCATGCCTTCTGTTTGGAGCGTTGGATCCCAAACATCAGCGACGTCAAGTCAGCCTCCCGCTCAGACCCTCTGAAGGCCGCAACCCATCAAGTCCAGACCTGGCGCAGAACCCCAGGGACCACACCTCCTCCTTATCCAGCCCTTTCCTTATCTCCTTCCTCTGCGTCCCACCCTCCCTCGGGCGGGCCTCCCTGCTACGCCTGGAGCGAGACGAGGTCCTCCAGTGGCGACCTTTGCTCTTCCCTTCCCTCTCTCCTGGACACTATCTCCAGATGGGCCCATGGCCACTCCCTCTCACCCTCAGGTCCTGCCTCTTCGTAGAGGCCATGTCTGTCCACGGTGCCCAAACCGTGGCCCTGTCAGGCCTGGCAGCGTTGCTTCAAGGCGCTGTCTCTGTAGTAGGCCCGGGGACGTCCAGCGCCTCATTGACCACTCGCCCATGACCCGCCTCCTCCCAGCACCTACAAGTGGAAACCTGCCCAGTTGTTCCACGACGACATCCTGGGAGCCAAGGGTAGTGCCTGGCGCACAGTAGGAACGCAGTCCCTTTGGGTGACATAATGGATGGATGACCCCTCCGCTTCCTCCCCTTTATAGTGATCCTACAGCCAGGTGTTGAGAGTGGAAGCCCCTCAGCCTGGAGGCTTGGCTGGCGGGTAACTAGATCCTGCTGTGGATGTTGTCGCCTGGTTGTTACTTTGTTTCCACTGTCCCACGGGGGAGACCAGGTGGGAATAAGCCCTCGGCTCCAGCCTGGGGCCCAGCAGCAGCCCTTCCACCAGCAGAGCCCACAGCTCTCGCCGCCCCATCTGCCAAGGTCATGGTCAAGGTCTGGGCCTGATGGTCAGGAGCCCTCCAGTCCCCCCTGGGCTGGGGGCAGTGGGCAGAGCCCAGATCAGGCTGCAGAAACCCGTGATTACCCCCAGCAGCAGGCCCCACATCAAAGCCAATCTCAGAGGGGCGAGGCCTCAAGATAAATGGAAGATTAAAGAAGGCTTGGTCTCCACAGGCCACAGGGAGCGGCGGCCGGCTGCCGGCCACAGAGGGGAGGCCCCAACACAGCCCTGGCTGCCGCCATCTTGGGGGGCAAGATGAGGGGGTGTCCAGGCCTGAGCAAGGGGAGCGAGGAAGGGTACCCTTCGGGGACCCTGCTTGGGTCTGGGTTCCCATGACTATGTTTCAGCCGGAACCTCCAATCCCTGCCTCCTTCTTAACCCTTTCCCCTCCAGGCGGCCTCCAAGAGGCTCAGCCCAGGAACCTGGGCCTCTCTTTGAGAGCCTTTGTTTGGTCCTTGGGTTTGGTCATTGGGGTTTGCTCCCTGCAGCCAGGGAGCCTGTAATGACGACCTCCTGGCCTCAGCCTTCCTCCCCAGGGAAGGTCTGTAATTAGTGCAGAAGGCGAGGCTGGCGAAGCTCAGACAATGTCATTTGAACCAGGATGAGACAGGGCTCAATTGCTAGTCTGCACATTTTTTTTTTCTGGTGCCATTTCATATACAAAACTCTGGCAAGCTTAACCCTTTCCTGGTTGGGCCCTGAGCCGGGGCTTCAGCCTGGCATCCTATCTGCCCCTGGGCCCCCTCTGCGTCATTCTTGACTCCCCCAAAACCCAATTCAGGTGAGCCATAGATTTGGACTTACCTAACATCTGCCAATCAAGCATCCAGGGAGCTTTGGCTTGGTGCCAAGCACCAAAGGGAAGGGACCCAAGGGACTGTCTCCCTTTCTGTCAGCGAGAAGATTCCAGTCCTCTGGGCAGTGACGGACTGCACACTGGAGACAGGAGCAGGGCAGGGAGAATCAGATGATGAGGACCAGTGTAAGGCAGAGAAGGGAGCCAGGTGAGGATGGGCATGTGGAAGACTGGCATAAATGTGTCCAGGGAGCCATCTTTCTGGAGCAGGGTTTTTCTGTAGTCAGGGCTTGAGGCTGAACTCACAGGGAAAGGATAGGCAGGAAAAGCCAGCCCCAGGTGGGGACAGACATCAGAGCAATTGTGACAGGCAGAGGTTGTCCCTTTCGCCCTCATATTCTGAATCACTTATTCTGAATCCCAGAACTACTGTTCATCTCACACTGAGCTATAACCTATTGGATAACAGAGCTGGGTTCCCCCACTGGACTGGGTACAGCAGCCCTGAGCAGGTACACAAGAGGTACTCAATAAATAAATAGTTGACCTGAAATGACAATATGGAAGGAATGGAGAATATACACAGACACACACACAGAGTTTCCCAGAGGGATGCAAATTCTAACCCCAGATCCCTTGCAAATCATATCACAATCTCCCTAGTATATAAAGAGTTTCTAGAAATCAACAATACCAACCACCAATTTTAAAAGGATCAAAGAATATGAATAGAGTCTACAGAAAAGGAAACATAAATTGTTTAACTGTAAAAAGGTACTCACTCCTAGTGAAGGAAAAAGCAAATTAAAAATACACTGGAGGTGCTGGGGCTATGGCTCAGTGATAGAGCGCTTCCCTTGTACGTGTGAGGCACTGGGTTCGATCCCTGGCACCACATAAAAACAAATAAATAAAAAAAAATACACTGGAAACTATTTCTTATCCAGCAGAGTAGAAAAATGTAAAAGTTCAATAATATCCTCAGTTTGAGAGAGTACAGAATCCGCCCATTTCTGGTAGGGCTATAAGTCGGTACAAGCTATTTGAGCATATTTTTTTATCTTATATATATATATATATATATATATATTTACTTGAGCATATCTTTCAGCATTACGAAAGCATGTTCCCTTTGGCTCAGCAGTCCTTCCTCTGAGAATTCATCCTACAGCTACACAGCATTTGGACAAGACCATCACTGTGGCATTGTTCTTTATAGTAAAAAACCAGAAACCATTCAAGTGTCCATCAATAGGGACAGGTAAATAAATTCCAGAGCAGTCATACAATGGGTGGCTATGCAGGTATTGAGAAAAGAAAAAAAAAAGAATGAGGAAGTTCTATGTGTACTAATACCAGATGATCTCCAAGATAAATTAAGTGAAAACAAAACCATGCAGAACAGTGTGTATAATAGCCTCCTTTTCAGTTAAAAGAGAGAGAAGAAATATTACATGTTTAAATATTACACACACACACACACACACACACACACACAGCAAAGAAGGATACCCAAGAAAGTAATAAAATTGATTATATGTTGGTGGAAGGGTGGGAGCTTAGTGGTTAGGATATAAGATGTAGAGAGGAGAGGATCACTTCTCATTATATTTCCTTGCTATTTTTTGAGTCAGTGAATGCATTATCTATTTTTAAAATATTTTAAAAAAATAGACTACCTCTACTCAGGACTGGGAATACTGGGGTCTTCCCAAGTAGCTGGGTCAAGGTGATTCTACCTTGGTTCACTGCCTCTCTGTCACTTTTCCTTCTTTTTCTTGTCAAGTTTTCCTGAGACCCTAGATTCCCATGAAGTACATACTTTTCCAAATCACGCCTGCAGAGTATGGACTAGGAAATCAGACCAATATGCTGTGTGACCTTGGGCAAGTTACTTCACCTTTCGGAGCCTTAGGAAAATGGTAATCTTAGTACCAGGATTGTGGTGAGGCATAACAGAAAACTCATAGGAAGTGCTTAACACAGATTCCGCGACATGATAAGCGCCGCATTGAATAGATGCACCCGGCTCACGGCTCATATTATGTACCACTGTTTTTATTGGATTGCTAGTTTTTGTCTTAGTGATTTATTGGAGCTCTTTATAGATTCAGAGGATCGAGTTAA